AAGTATCCAGTTAGGCAATTCCTTCTGTAAATCTCTTTTTCAAAAACCTTGAATCTCCTTTCTTTCTTTCTGCGAAATTGAGCGTCACTTAGACAGGTTCTTTTCAAAAAATATCCTCTTCGAAAGAACAACCAGTTTTCACCTGAGGGTTTTTATATCGTAGCATGGAGAGCTATCTCATCTCACCGGAGTCGCCCATTATGAACTTTCTATCCAACCGGCGTTATTCTAAAAAGAACAACTTTGACACAAAAGGAGACGCTCAAGGTAATAAATAAGGAGTGAAATGTCACCAAAATTAGAAGCAAATAAATAATACACAGACAAGGCATTCGAGTGAGTGGGAAAATGATGGGTCTTACAGGCGTTGCAAATAGCCATAGAACTGCGGTACAAAATTATACTTCATCGCTCGCTTTCTTATTATCTGCGCAGAATGAAACATCATGTAACATTAAACCAATTACAAGACTAAAGAATAAACTAATAGTTCTAATAACCTTGACCAATTTGCTAATCAAACTTGGCGTTATTTCAAATGATGTTCGTTTTTAGGAGGTTTGTGGTATCTGACTTGCTTCTAACTTCAGTTGTCTCCTCTACTGCATCAGTAATACAAACATTTTGAATGTGTGAAAATTAGCTCATCTTGACGCAATCAGACAAGTTTCTAACCATAGATAATGATGACCCCTTCTACCTTCTGTAACTTCGCGCACAAAATTGAAAACCATTAACTGAGGCTTAAGATCTTACAACTATGATTTTCCCCAATTTGATAATAGCCTACTTTGCTTTTCAATAATTTCCAACCGTGCTTGGAAACAGCTTCGTAAGCTCTGGTGTCGAGTATGCAATTGCATACGAACACACATTTGAGTGGGAACTTTCAATTTTAGTATTGAATCATAGCTTTTGGAAGTGCTGCTGCTTCGAGCAGATCGCAAGAACATGGTCCTCTTGCAGCAGGTGGGTTCTACGAAGTTTGGAAAATATATGTTTGAATACTCGTTTTGGTCATATTTTGGGGCTTTATACCAGTGTGTTCCTAGTAAGCAAATAAGTACCACAAGAGAGATGTGAGTGCTTTGATATAGGACTCATAACTCTCTTGTAGTATTTCCTTCTTACACCTTCCATTTAAGCTTATGGTGCGTGGGATTCGGAGTGTGGGTCCATCAGAAGAAGAAACACAAGTGATACGCTTTCTCAACCCCCTTACAATCATAAGTGGACCCAATGGAAGTGGAAAAACTGTAAATTTTAGAAGCTTGTCCCCACCTTTCAATGCTCTCAAATGATTTCAGACACTGATTGAAGCTTTAAATTATATAACCACGGGGGCATTACCGGCTGGGAAGTTGGCTTCCTTTGTTCACAGTTTGGAGGTATGTGCTCTGATTAAGTATAGTTATGGTTTTTTGTTTCTACAATTCTGCATAAAGACTTTAAGGCTTCTCATAAAGCTCGTATCGATGGTATGGTCAAATTGCAATTCACAGACTCCAAAGGTCGAGTATGCGTTGCTACGAAACGGGTAAATGCAACCCTTAAAAAGGTGCTTAGTTATACTATCAGATTTCATTTTTTTTCTCAAGATAAGCGGGATCGCCATTACTATAGCTGTTACCCTCTTTATTTGAGAAGCC